AAAAAAGAACACATTTAATAATTGTATGAAACTGTGTATTTATAAAAAAAATACATGACACAAAACGCACACTTAATTCTTCAGATTTTTTTTTTTTAATTCTCAATCCTTAAGAATGACAAAAAACAAAACTGTGCCTCTGTCAGTCTTCCCCAGGGCATCTGTGGCTACACTGAAGTTTACCACCATCAGTTTGTGTGACTAGGTGAATGTCTGTAGTGTAAAGTGCTTTGGAGTCTGTAGGGCTTAATAAAGTGCTATACAAGTTCTGAGTATTTACCAAAACTGCTGGTGTTTCTTTTTGAACCGACTGTTTCTTCAGACCAGAAGTGTGTCTATGAGTTGAGTGCAGTGCTGATCCATCGAGGCATCAGTGCCTATTCGGGTCACTACATCGCTCATGTGAAGGATGCTCTTACTGGTGACTGGTACAAATTCAATGATGAAGAAATAGAGAAAATGGAAGGAAAGAAGCTGCAGCTTGGTATTGAAGAAGACATTGGTGAGTCATTAAAAAAACTGTGAAAACCTATTATTATTATTATTATTATTATTACATTTTAACGAGTGCATTTGTTAACTATAAGCTCTGCTTTTGCAAAACATCAAACCAGCCATGATGCAGTAAAAAAGCTAGTTTGTTTATAAGCCCTTTTTTCCAATGTAATGTTAGATGTAAAATTAGAATGTAAGCCACAGAGGCTTTATGTTTGCAGATAAAAACACCTGAAATTTATTTTGTTTTTTTCTGCTGTCTTTTTATTGCTCACAAGCTGAGACGGTGAAATCCCAGTCACGAAAGCCTAAGTGCAGTAAAGGTTATCACTGTTCCAGAAATGCATACATGCTGGTGTATAAGATCCAAGAAGATGAGAACTCTTCTAACTCCATTACCAAAGTTGAGGTGCCAGGTGAGTTGTTGATTTTGTGTTTATGTGTGTCTGCTCATACATCAGTGTTGTGCAAGATCTTTTCTCAAAGAACTCACAGCCAAGTTTAGTGCACACAGATTAAAACTGGTAATTATATATTGTACATCCAGGGTTCGACAAGATTTTTTTATTTTTTATTTTTGCCTGCCCTGTCTGGCATATGACAAGAAATGTTACCTGCCCAACATGAAAAGTTACTTGCCCGAAACAAAAATGTTCAAATTTTGATAAAAGAAAAATATGTACCGTATTTGTACTACAAAAATACTAACATGGTCAAGAATATCTTCAAAAACTTTTTTAGACCTTTCCAGTGTTTTCCCTAGAGTATTGGACTTGGGGGCGGGGCTTATGAAAACAGAATGATCAACAGCAGCAGCTTTGTTTTAAATACAGTTTACAGTCTAGAGCATGAAAAAGTCTGCAATTTGCATTAAAATAATAGTATGTAGCCTATCCCATATCTAAAGTTACATTTAAGATATCTTGAACTGGAGTCTCCATGCAACTTAATGATAAATCTAATATTATTTATACTAGTCAGAATATAATTAGAGATATCTTAAATAGGTATTTTGCCATGTCAAAATATATTAAGAGATATCTATTTATTTGTTTGTTTCTTTCATTCATAAAAACAAAGCAATCTATGTACACCATTAAAAAAAGTAAATAMTACCCTGAATTAAAAGGGTGCAGAGTGAAGGAAAAAAATAACATCATATTTGCCCCTTATTTTCAAAAATCAACTTCAACAAACAAACAAGCTCAAGCTGGAAATATCTCCAAGTTTAAAAAATAAGTAAATAAAACACAATAATAAAAGAAAACATTTTATTTTATCCTAAATAACTAATATGTCTAATTTAGTCATAAAACAATTTCAACTAACTAGAATATAAGTGGTGAAGCCAAATAAATGTTATATTGGCCTGCCATACAATGAGCTTCTGCCTGCTGAATTGACTTGCTGCTGCTGCGCTCTCATCTTCATCATCAGAGCAGAAGCCGACATTAGCAAGATGGATTTATGACCGAACGAACGTCCACATATTTTTTTAATCTCTGTGGGTAACAATACATAAAAAACTTTTTTTTCCTCCGAAAACTCGGGTGTGAAAAAACTACGGTTGTTAAAGCTTCGCTCTGCACGACGTGCAGCAGGAAGGAGGGAGAGATTAGGATCCCACGACACGCTGCACGACGTAACTTCTACAGGGGACGGGGGAATTTTGAGGATTTATTCTCTCTGTTTTAAAACACTATACAGTATTTCTTCATTTATTTTCAGAATATTTCGAATAAATGGCCCTATAAAAAAAATAAAGAAATGATTTACCTGCCCTGTCGGGCAGGCATCGGGGGACACCCACCTGCCCGAATATGGGTTTTACCTGCTCCGGGCAGTCGGGCAATATGATTTGTCGAACCGTGCTTCCATCCATCTGTAAAGAAATGTTCAGATTGGAAGCCAGAATAACACCAGGGTTTCAGAAAACTGATTAAGTTCTCAGTTGGATGTTTRTTTTCAGATCTAAAGACTTCATTTCACTCCGAGCCAGTCGGTGGCATCGAAGGTCTAAATAAAATTGCTACTGATCACATGTTSTCATATTAATAGAGGCGTGACCAGGTTTGGAATTCCTAAAATGTCGATCATGTTTACACTGCTGGAGCAAGGCACATGTTAAAAGGAGACTTGTTTATTCTTTTACYGTTTAAAGTAAATTACTACAACTGATCACAAAGTATAAAATATAAGACCATCAACCACAAAATATYCAACACATCCATTCATGGCTGCTGTTGYTGAGTGGTTAGGGGAGTACTAATGCAAGAGTTGGTGGTTCGATTCCTGCGTTATTCAGTTACATGTTGAAGTGTCCTTGGGCAAGACATTGAACCCCTACAGCCTCTTATGTGTGTCCCATCAGTGTATGAATGTGATTAAAAGCACTAATTAGTCTTTATAGACTGATTTTTCTGTATTAGATTTGTAGAAATACATGGTGTGTGTGTGTGTGTGTGTGTGTGTGTGTCTGTCTGTCTGTCTGTCTGTGTGTGTGTCTGTCTGTCTGTCTGTCTGTCTGTGTGTGTGTCTGTCTGTCTGTCTGTCTGTCTGTCTGTCTGTGTGCGTGCATATATTATATACACACACATTCTAATTGAATGTGTGTGTGTGTATTATACACACTTGTAAATGATTAAATGAGGACACAGGTGAAGAGCTTTTTGTAGTGTTTTTTTATTGTTTCAAACTTTATTCATTTCTTAAAAACTAAATTAATTCTATGTACAATAAAAAGAAAAGAAAACACAAATACAATGACATGAAAGGTGGCAGAGAGAAGAAAAAAATCTTGTTTGCCCCTTTTTCCCTCAAATATAAATTCAAACAATATTAATCTTCAGTTAACAAAACAAAACAAAAACATCAAATCTTCCTAGAACAACAAATTTTTGTGGATACACATTATACTGTTTCATATTTTTTTAACAATCCAACGTTTTTCATTCTCTTGTACATGTACATTGATCTGGCACTTTTAACATCATTTTCCAGATTATTTCCCCAATCTCACTCCTTGGATTGAGGTGCATCCTTATTTCCAACTGGTTCTAAATTTAAGTTTCACTAACATCTCTGTGCCCTTAAAATTATAAAAGCTCTCTCTCTTTGCAAAGTTTTTCTGGATGTTTAAATGGTGAGCCTTATACATAACTAATAAAATGTTATAATCAACCAAATTGTAAAATTTCAATAATTTCAGTTTACAAAATAATATATTAGATGGATAACGGTAATGTTTTCCAGTGACAGCTTTTTTTAGCTCTTTTCTGTAAAACAAAAACAGGATTTGTAATTGTTTTACATACTTTCCCCATACCTCAACACAATAGACCAAGTGTGGTACAATTAATGTGTTAATAAAATAGAACAGAAATAGCCTTTATTGTCCCACCGAGGGGAAATTCAGGTGTCACAGCAGCTCTTCTTCCCGCTGATGTGGTGTAAATCCCCACCATCAAGAGCCCTGTGCCAGGCTCCACAGACAGCCGCTGCTTCGGATGTTCCAGCCCCTGCTAGGGTCGGCCTTGTTAACGCAAGATCACTGGCAAATAAAACTTTCATCTTGAGGGATKTCTTCATGTCCCTTGGTCTGGATTTTCTCTGTGTAATRGAGACATGGCTGAGTACCTGTGAGCCCACCTTTCTTATTGAATTGTCACCACTGGATTGCTGCGTCTGTCAGGTGGAAAAGGAGGAGGAATAGCAGTTGTTTTTAAAAGCGATTTTAAATGCTGGCAGATCTGCCTGCAATCCTAAGAGCTTTGAACATTGCTCACTTGAAATTGGTCGCTGTCATGTTGGGTGGCCAATAAATGATGACACACGAGACAAGTACAATAGGGACTTTATGAGTGACTTTTCTAAATTTTTGGCTGAACCCCTGTGTAAATACATATGAACGTGTCCTTAACAAATCATAAAAAAGCCAGACTAGAATTTGTCAAACTACATGTTGACAAGCCTCAAAGCTTCTAGAAGAATGTCCTATGGACAGATGAGACAAAAGTTTAACTTTTTGCCAAGGCACATCAGCTCTATGTTGACAGAGGGGAAAATGAAGCATCTGAAGAAAAGAACACTGGCTGTGTCTCAATTTATGGGCTGGGTCCTCATGAGCTGGGCCACGTCCTCGCTGGGCCCGGTAGGCTGCTTTTAAAACTGCCATGAAATGGGATGGTCTACCCTTTGCCTGATGTCGGTTTTACGTAAGTTTGTGCTCCCACATTACCATAGTGTTCAGTTTCATATCAGACTTAAAATGCATTGGGACGTGTATTTACACGTCTTTTTACTGGATGAATAATTTCAGTCAAAATGTTACATGTAAATTAAAAATTTTATATAATAATTCGGATTTAGCTCCAGTATCAGCACTTTGTAGTAGCATTTTATTAAATTTAACATCTTTTTGCATTCCTCTGCCACATGATGAGGAGTCTTCGAATTGGGACAGTACTCCGCGCGGGGCAGTGATGTATGCAGTCGACAAATGCGACCTCATGAGGACCTAGCCGTTCCAAAGTTTTGTCATGATGTAGAAGTCCAGTTAAATGTGGACGACGCTGTTCTGTACACACATGCTAAAACGGCTCAACTTGCGGCTGAGAAATTAACCAAAGCTCTGGAGGGAGTGGTTGATTGGTTAAATTGTTACAAACAGGCCTGTAAGAAAAATACGTATTCAATAAACTGAAGTCAATATTAAACCACCATTGTTAAATAAAATGATTTGTAGAAGGAATCACCCATACAACACCAGAATTCTGGAACTGAGTGAGGTTTATTGCCACCGGAGCTGACAGGAAACCACACTGGCGAAAAACCAGGAAGTTTATCAAATTATACATGGTTCTTCAATGCCTGCGTTCGCCCCCTACTGACCTACGGCTGAATCACAGGCATTCAGACAAAATTCTCACCTACTGTTCTCATAATGGTTGATTATGTGTTGTCATATAATTCGGACATGTAACTGAACCTATTTCAATCAAATCATAATAGATTAAACATTGTCAACATTATAAAAAGGAAAACCTAAAAATATAGTGTTGTGCTTTTAACATCAGTACTAACCTSTAATAACTATAAATTTCTTCAGGCCCTCAAAATATTGGACAACAAGYCTTTAAGACACCATCATTGTCAGATTGTTCAGAAATATAACTTTTTTTCTTTTGAGAGTTTTAAGTTTTCTCAAATATGGAAACAGTATATAAAATTTTTAACGGTTTAGCGCCCATCTGTTTGCAAAAATTTGTTTATCGTTCAGCTGTTTCTTTGCGCTTAACTAGAACATCCAGGCAGAACTGTGAAGTTCCTCTCGGCACTCAGCCTTTGGACAAGCAGCTTTTTCGGTTAAAGCCATCGCTCAGTGGAATGCTGCTCCCGATCATGTAAAAAACTGTAGTTCTTTTATTAGTTTTAAAAATAATCTTTAATAAAAGTATCTTAAATCTACCCAATGTTGCAATCACTGAATTGCACTGGGTAATCGATTTTAGAGTTGCTTGTGGTTGTGTGGGGTAGAGGTGGGCATGATTTTATGTTTGGAGAGTGGGGTGGGGTGTTTTATATATTTTTAAATTGCAAAATATTTTATTTTAAGTTATTTTTATTTTTCTATTTTTTTCCCTCTCTCATTTCTATTTTACGGTTGGATGTTTTGTTTTTACTGTTTGATGGGACTACAGATGTAAATTAGCCTTAAGCTAAATCTGGTGCAATGCATCAAATTATGTTTTAATTGCACACTGTCCCGAACAAATAAAATCATACATTCATTCAATTGAGACACAGCCTCTGCCCCTAACGTGAAACATGGAGGAGGTCTGTTATGGTCTGGGGCTGCTTTGCTGCATCTGGCACAGGGGGTCTTGAATCTGTGCAGGGTAMAATGAAATCTCAAGACTATCAAGRATCCTAGAGAGAAATGTGCTGCTCAGTGTCAGAAGGTTTGGTCTCAGCAGCTCATGGGTGTTCAACAGGATAATGACCCAAAACAGCTAARACCACCAAGAATGGCTCAGAGGAAAACATTGGACTATTCTGAAGTGGACTTCTATGATCCTGACCTAAATCCTGTTGAGCATCTTTGGAAGAAGCTGAAACATCAAACCTGAGACAACTGGAGCAGTTTGATCATGAGGAGTGGAACAAAATACCTGCTGAGAGCTGCAGAAGTCTCACTGACAGTTACAGGAATCATTTGATTGCAGTGATTGACTGTAAAGGTTGTGCAACAAAATATTAAGTTAAGGATCCCAACATTTTTGTCCAGGACTGTTTTATGAATTTTATTTATTTTTTAAATTCTGTTGAAAACCAATGTCTGACTTTCATTTGTTAATTTTCATGGAATTTTATTTATTATTACTTTTTTCAGATTCAATTTATTTTTGTGACCATTGTGGGTTTTTCTTTCATTAAATAAGGAGTACCAACATTTTTGTCCATATGTGTATTCACCTACATTTTTTTACCTGAATTATTGAGCTGCATCTGAACGATACACAAGCTGAGGATTAACATCTGTACACAACAATAAAATATAAGCAGAAATATATAAATAGCCCTGTAAATAAATAAATAAATACACATAAAATGCACCAATTATTTTAAATTAGGAGAACTTATCTTTGTGTTTTGTAATTTAGTTGACCTTCATATTTATTTTTCCAGCTTAGTTCCAATAAATTATATATTTTAGCACATAATTTAAAATGTACAGCTTTTAGAGTATTTTTTACCTACATTTGTGTTTTTTAAATGATTTATTAATTTTTTTAACTGTTTTACCCACACGTCTTTTTATTTCCATGAGTTGTTTTTTTTTTTTTTTACATTTTTCTGTTTCCTGTTATTACTTTACCTCATACATTTCTGCCTCTGTTTTTTTTTATTTTGCTCTCCAGCCTTTCTTCAAAGGTTAGTTGACCAGGACAACCGTAAATTTGAAGAGTGGTGCACAGAGATGGCAGACATGAGAAAACAGAGTGTGGATAAAGGCAAAGCCAAGCACGAAGAGGTGAAAGAGCTCTACAAGCTTTTACCTGCAGAAGATGGTTGGTAAACATGCTTTATTCACTCATTGTCCAATTAACGTCTGTGTGTGGTTTCACTATTTACACATTTTAAAATGCAGTAAAATAAYTTTGAGAGCATATTTTATTATCCTATAAAACAACGACATGTATATATATTTTAAATTACTAATGTAGTTTGACACATCTGCGTATATACACCCACACATAGACACCACATACTTTGTGTGTAACATCTGGTCTTGATATTCTGGAGGTAATGTKCAGCATTTGCTTAGTAACAACAGAAAATGGTTGTACTTTTTCAGTTTCAGTTCAGGCTCTTCGTTGATGTTTTCTGTTCTTACCCTCCACAGGAGAACAGTATGAGTTTATCCCCAGTGACTGGCTGAAGAAGTGGCTTGATGATTCCACTGCCACAAAGGAAATTGAAAACTCCCTTTTCCTTTGTTCTCATGGAAAACTGCACCCAGACAAGATGGGAGAGGTCAAGAGGGTGTCCCTGCGAGCTGCAGACCTGCTATATGAACGCTACGGTGGAGGACCAAGATTAGATGGTCAGTCAAGCAGCAGATTTGCTCTCTTTTAAAATGTTTTTTTAACTGATACATGTCTCAAAATTCTGCTTTTGTTCTAAAATACTTTTTGGCACAAATGAAGTGGTTTAGYCTTTTGCCTTTCAGAGATTGTGGGGTGGCTGTGGCTGAGTGGTTAGGGCAGTTGCCCTCCAATGAGAGAGTTGGCGATTTGATTCTTTGCTGTTCAGTCTCATGTCGACGTGTCCTTGGGCAAGACTCTGAACCCCTACTGCCTCTGATGCATCCCATCAGTTTATGAGTGGGATTTAAAGCGCTGACTAGTCTCCAATGAATTAACTTCAACAAATTAGCTTTGTAGAGAGATGTAGTGGAGGACTGTGTAAATGGGTAAATGAGGGCACAGATTGTAGTTTAAAGCGTTTTAAGTATCCCGGTTGGATAGAAAGGTGCTACCTGAAGATTGTCACAGTTCCTTGAGGGCATCCTGAGGCATTGCCAGCTGAAAGAAGGCACCAGAAAACCAAACAGGGCGTCACTGCAGTTCACCGATGCCCCTCCAACTGATTGGTATGGAACAGTTCATGAAAAAATTTTTAAAACTGTTGTGTAGCATAATGTTTTGTTCAGTGGACATGTAAAAAAAAGCTTTGTGTAAATACTGCAGAAACAGAATGCAGCAGCCATGTCAGTAGCCATGTTTCCATCCAATTTTAATTCGAATTTTGAGCAAATTTTTAAAATTTCGCAAAAAGGAAAAAACAAAGAAATGCGAATCAGACGTGTTTCCATCAACTGGCTTGAAGCGAATCAGTTATGTCAGACACGTGTGTAGTAAACGGGAAATAAAAGTCGCATCCCAGGAAAATGGAGAAAAGTTATCAGGAACGTGTTGCTACTGTCGGGAAAGTTGTAATTATTCTGTCATATCAACTAGTTTTGGCGATTTTACATGCAGTCGGAAGACGTAGATAAAGTAATGTAATTCTCTTCATGTTACGGGAATAACTGAGAATACGCCGATAGCAGGATGAGGGCCCAACTGCAGTCGCGGCTGCAGTCGCTCTGGTACCGGGACCGGTTTCAGACAGACAGCGAGAACAGCTGATCAACCATGTGAGGTAAATGTTCGCCACGTCAGAACTTATTCGACAAATGTGTTTCCATCTCTCCTTTTGCGCATTAACTCTTTTTTGAAAATAACAAAAACCACCTCAAGTGAGCGTATCAACTTTTATGCGAATTAGAGGAAGTTTCTTCGAATCATGCCGTTTTTCCATTCACCTTTTCTGATGCGATACTTMAAAATGCGCATTAAAAAACCTTGAGGGAAACATGGATAATGATTGAAATGGCACAGTGTTGAAGGTTCGGTCTACTGTGTGGGACAGGTGTAAAAAAAAGTGGTGGATAAAGCTGTGACTGTGTTCCACCATATATCTAAGGAGACATCCACCCGTGTCTGTCGACAGTGCATAAGACAGACAGGTTACAAAATAGTGCTGGGAAATAAACCGCTGTGTACTGAAAACCGTTTTTTATTTTTGTTAGGATATGAATTTTCTGAAAACCGAACATACCGGTTTAAATAGCCTGAACACGTTTAGAACGTTACGTCTGTTACTGTTTCACGGGGGACACTTTTCCTCGCAACATCGCTACGCGCATTAGCAAGCTAATGTTATTGTTGGAGCAGCTTCTCAGTAACTGGCTGTGGGTGATGATTCCGCTGCTTATATTGAATCAGAATTAGCTTTATTGTCATTCACACACAACATCAGAGATGCAGTGCAGAACGAAATTGCAGTTATGAAAAGAAAGACACCCATAACAAACATGGGGGAACGGATGACCAGGTCTTGCGCAAAATGGTTGCGCTATCTTTTGCAGCTTGGAAAAACACAATAGGATAAGTGAGTTAAAAAAAGTTGCTCTGGGGCGGGGTTCAGTGGAGCCGGTGACGTTTTAGATCAATACTTCGTGCTGGAACCGATCCAAGGCCCTCCAGAGTCCAGAGACCAGATCTTATTCGTCTCATGCTCAGTTCACAGAGTTCAGAGTTTCCCCTTTCTCCTCACGGCCTTCAGATGGTCCCACACGGATGATGGGTGGGGACTCAAGCCCTTGTTGACGTATCCTCCCGGGGAATTTTGATAAATGTGCCAACCGAAGGCCAGCTGCTGGGATCCGAAAAGATAAACACATTTGTTTTGGGACAAGCGGCCTTTAATTTCCTTGCTGCTTTCAGTCTCACTGCATCTCTGAAAATGGCGAAAAAAATACCAATGTTCCAAATTCTGTGTCTTCTCGCCTCTCGCCGTCTGAAGCTTCTCCCAGTTGTCATCCTTATATCCAAGAGGCATGCTCCTGGGCAGAGATTGTTATCAGAATCACATACAGTTTGTGACTTATCTCCCCCAGCATCTGAGTGTTAGCTCTCAGAGCAGCAGATTCCGCACTGCTGTCAGGATCGCTTTCATTTTCCGATAACTCAGAACTCTGCCATAGCCGATCGGCAGAAATCCAGTTATCATAAATCCAAATATATACAAATCTTCCAAGTCTTTAATGGAAAGTGGTGCCAAACAGATTAGGTTCCAACCCCAGGAACCACTGACCTGACCAGCAGCAACCATTCCACTGGGACAKYTACGTTCCCCTCGTTCCAATCTTAATGTGGAAAAAATTGTGTCAMTTGCATTCAGAGACCAGTTGACCAAATCCATAGTTCATTTTTGTTTCAGATGATAGGTAGAAGAAAGGCTTGAAAAAGCTGTGAAGCAGGAAGGAGGGGCAGGTTCGAAAGAGAGAGCAAAAAGCGTCCGACTCCTCTGAAGGCCAAGCGAAGAAGATTTTATTGACTGACATATATGAAAAACTCTTTCATTTTCGCCATCGCTGAATGTTGTTTGCACCTCTTCAGTGACATGCACGGACAGATTTAATGTGTGGCATAAATATGGAGATGTTAAAGGGGCAATATCATGGAAAATCAATTTTTTTGAGTTTTATATCATGTTATAATGTTATACTCTCATAATCACAAACACATCACAAAGCGTTGCTTTGACTCATTAATGCATGTTTGAGAAATCCTGCAGCATTTTTAACAAAACGACAGGTGGGGACCAGAAGGGCCTTTTGGTACCAGAAACGCCCCTGGGACGAGTCTTTAAGCTGAGCTTCTTCATCGTGGAGCATACCTCCCCAACCCTCACCCCCACACCCCGCCCATGACTCCTGCAGGCTCTCGGCAGTAACAAAGCAAACGAGTGAAAGTGAAACTGAAACTTAGTCTGTTTCTCAACACTACTCAGTGAAGGTCTTTTCAGATTCAAAATACCCTTTGAGGAAATGTATTTTCAGATGCCAAGTAAACTGCATCATAGCGCACGTGCAAACTCCCCCGCGTGCGAAATGGACATCATAGCTGTAACATTATTTTTGCACATGGGTCAATACCTGAACAATGTACTGAAGAGAATTGGCATTAAAACTAGGGGAGCCAAGCACCAGCTACTGATCAACAGCAAGACCAGACACACAAACCTGTCCACAGCCTGGACTGACTACAGCACACTGGTTCTTGGAGATTRCTGCGTTAGGATCAAAATGAAGAGACAAACCTTTTAGTAAAATCATACCAGTCAATCTTTTGTCATGTAAAGCTGTATAATAAAGAAATAAAAAGATATGTTGTAACCCCTATTTTACATGGAAAATGCAAAATTATGGTCTTGTTTACACAAGAATGATCTCTGGTGTTAGTGTTTTTTCAGTGTGTATTATCATGAATAAACAAGAAAAATGTGTCTACACCAAGGAGTTTCTATAGAACAGCTGGAGTGCGCAAAAACCACGTGACCGTGTGATCGGCTGGTGACGCTAACGGCTAACGCTAAACGGTCAAGACTCTGGATTTTCCATTATAATCATTGTGTTACAGGCTGACTTCAGGTCTGGTTTAGATCATTGTTACTTATAAATTATATGTATATATATTGGTATTTATCTGCTGTTTTACATGATTGTTGAATGAAATTAACATAGTTATTAATTTATTGTAAAAACATGACTGATAATCTGTGAAAAAAATCCGGTTCAGCTTGCTGTTTATCTATTAGTTTTTATGGAGGCTGTGAGCTGTTGCCCTTTTAAGACGCCATTTTTGCTCCTCCATGCTGTCACAGACGCTGCCAGTGTATGGTATGGGCGGGACGAGTAACACAGATGCCAGGCGCTCAACGAGCAACGCTTGCAATGTTAGCATAGATACAGTTATATCCAAACTGCTGAATACATAAATGTGCCTTCAGACCAAGGATGATGATGTTTTTTTTTTTCCTACGTATTGAAAAAGGGACTGTAGCTGGCTGTATTGCACATATTCGATTTATGCATTGCGGCTTTCAAGTAGTGCCTGAAAAGTATCATTTTAGACCTGGATTCAAAATGTTTCAGTGTCAGGGACTGCAATCACTGTTGTCATGTAAACAAAGGGCCAAGCAGCAACATAATTTTTACAGTTTCACTAAAAATCATCATCTTTTGTTTTGAAGTTTGCTGAAATGATTCATTGTGTTTCCGTCCAGGCTCTTCTCTCTGTATTGAATGTGTTGGCCAGCGATGCAGAGTGCTGCGACTGAAAAACCAGCTCAACGAAGATTTCAAGGAAGTTTCAAATCTAATCAAACGTTCTGTCAGGTAACACTCCAATTATCTGGCAAACACGAGTGTCGATTTTATTATAATCTGCATGATCATTTACATCAAGTATAAATCAAATAAGATTTTTATGTGTGTGTTTCAGTGGTGAGGGCTTCTGGGTGAGCAAAGCGTCTTTGCGTAGCTGGAGGCAGTTGGCTTTGGACCAGTTGGAGGAGGATGAGATTGAGACCCAACACAACAACAGCAAGACTAATGGGCAGGGACCACACACTAATTGCAAGGGTAAGTTTTAAACATGATCCTGACTGTGGGATATCTAGTGCAAAATATTTTTTAATAATAATAATAATAACAATAATAATAACAATATTTTATTTGTGGCTGCCAATTTACCTGAGGTAGACAGTATGTCCTAATTAATAACTAATATGTAGTGGTGCAGAGGTTAGAGAAGATGAGTCTGTGATCAGAAGGTTGCCGGTTCAACTCCCCGAACCAACCAGCCTCACTTTGGGCCCTTGAGCAAGGCCCTTAACCCCTCAGCTGCTGCCCGGGCTCTGTAATTGGCAGCTCACTGCTCCACATGTGTGTTCACATGTGCAATGGATAAAATGCAGAGAATTAATAATATATATAAAAACAATAAAGGCTAATAAAAATAAAATATCTTGATTAATATCTTTTTGTCGGCTTTTATCTTACTACACATGATGAGGTGGTATTTCGGCCGTATCGAAATTGGTGTTTTTCGCAAAACTGCAATGGAAACACTTCTTTCGCTTCACGGGAATCGCGTGATCAACAACCGGCTGTTTCTACTGGCGAAAAAGATGATGACAAAGAAGATAACAGGAAGTAGAAGTAGTAGTAATACCACAGAAGTAGTATAAAATAGTAAACTCACCGACTACAATTTCCCAAAAACACAGCATACGTAGCCGCTCCCAAGTAGTGGCTTGTCGCTGGAAAGCCTCGATAAAAGACGTCGACGTMTCCTCTGATGATGAGCGCTAGTGTCGTGGTAGCAACATGCTATGTGTTTACATCCATCTCCGCCATGTTTGTAATGACTTTTCATGAGAACAAACGAATTCACTGCAGTTGCGAAACTGTTTTTTCGACATTAACAGAATATCGAAAAAGTTTTGAGCACATTTGCAATGGAAACGCAGCTACAGAGGCGTGGCATCAAGGTGACCAGCCTACCTATAGTGTGACAGTTTCAGTTGTTTGTAGTTTATCATATCTGCACAATTTAATTCTTCAAACGGTTTCAACACCAACAAGGTGTTTTGGCTGTTTGGATTTGCTAAACTTTAATTATATCCAGAACCAGTGTCTAAAACGTTTAATTTTACAAATACTTTATTTGCTCTTAGATGTTCTCAAACCATGGAGCTTTACTTTTAAAGATGCTCTGTTACTGTTTAAGACACAAACATTTCAGCTTATTGTTTGTCTGAATTGTGTCAACATTCTGCTAATTTGATTAATTGCAGAGTTTGATTCAAATCTCCCAGAGGACGATATGAAGACGTTCAATGAAGACCTCGTCTGTAGTCATGGTATTTTCTCACTTCAGCATAATCATTTTTTCAGTACCTTCTAATAATAATGCAGTAACATTTTGAAGCAATAGAAAGTTTAGGCTAATCATTCCTGTTGCAGATATTTGCACTGTATAATTTCTGTTTTCACCGTAGGAGCCCTGTGTATTCTGGAGACAGAGCGAAAGCTGGTATCTACTGAAGTGTGGAGCAAATTGAGAAATTACTTCCCAAAAGCCCCAGAGTTCAACCAAAATCAAGATCCCTGTCAGCAGTGTCTGGTATGATGACTAGCAGCATTTAGGATTGTTCCACACTTATTTAATCCTTTTTGAAACATTTCCTTTTGTTTCTATTAGAAGGTGAAAAGAAGATAATATTTTTACATGTGTTTGATGTGTGTTTCTGTTTGTTTGCATGTTCTTTAGATCTAAATAGTTTTGAAAATGTAAGGAAATAAGGGGCACTTTTTAAAAACCTTTTAGCTGTTTTGGTGTGTGTGTGGGGGGAGGTTGTGAGGTGCTTTGTTACCTTTAAAACATTTTACACATAAGGCAGAGTTTTTGTGTTTTGACTTAGTTTAAACATAAATACTAGAGCAAAGTATGAAAATAAGTCTCTCATACTTTGTTGTCTTGATTTGATCGTTAGGGGCGGTGGATGGGTGACGGCCTTTTCTCACTTGAAGCAGCAGTTTGCCCAGTGAGGGAAACCAATTAGATTTTTCAAAAAGTATAGTAACTTCAGTTCTGTTCTCTTTGTAAAAGAGCAGATAGTTTTACCCTTCCCTGAAACTACTGTTGGGTCATACCTGCTATGAAATAGAATATTTTTGTTGCTACATCTTGAGGGAAGAAAGCTCAGGCCTCTTTTAAGCAGAGCACACTGTGCTGCAGATAAATGGAAGTTTTTAGCTAAAACAGCTAACTTTGCCTGAAAGAGCCTCCTCCCCTCTCAGGGAGATTGCTCAAGCCCTCCATCCCACGGGTCCAAACTTCCTCTTTCTTGCTGATTCTTAACCAGACATTGGGCCTCATGCAAGAACATGTTCGTATTYTTATCCTAAATTTCTCTTACTTTTGTTCGTACAAAGGGTTCGTACGAACATGTCACGTCAGATTCAACAAACTCTTCTATCTTCAGGAAAAGTGTGTAAATGAGCTGCATAAATTACACCTGTTCGTATCCAGCTGCTCGTGCACGTGAGAGATTAGCATAATTACCACCCCAAAAACACCATATAAGGCTATGTTTCCTGCCTCAGATACAAGGAAGTGTCCATTCATAAAAAATGACAGCAAAAACTAAAAAGAAGAACTTTACGAGTTCAGAGATTGAAGTCCGTCTGTCAGAGATCCAGAAAAGAAAATCTGTCATTTTTAGCAGGTCAGCTGTGGGATAAAAAGAGCTGCTAAATGTATAAACAACTGTGTTAAATCATTTTCATTTATTCAGAAGACACACCGTTGCGCACCGTACCCCCCCACCCCTACCCCACCCTCCATGCGCTGCGCGGTCGCAGGTGGTCTCAGATGCGGGTTTGAAATAAGCATTTTAAAATGTTTTCAAAATAAGTCTGGCACTTTGGAGAAAATCAAGGACTCGCTGGAGGGATCATGCATCCCCTCTGGCCTGGGAACGTCTCGGGGTCCCCCAGGACGAGCTGGAAAGTGTCACTGGGGAGAGTGGGGTCTTTCTCCTGCTGCCCCCGCACCCGATAGCGGATAAGCGGGTTGAAATGGACGAACGGACAATTTATATTGTTAGTCTAAATTATTACATTTAAAATTATAACTCTAATTCAAGCAGAATAGCCTATTGTCAACATAATTATGRAGTGTGATTTATTTTCAACTCAAAATATCTTCAAACTAATGAAATATAAAGTTATTAGTGAAGAAAACCCRTCTGGATAACAGCAGACTGACTTCATGTAAAATATACGACAGGTCTGGACCACTCGCGAATTTTGTTCGTATCTGAAAAAAATCKTAGAATACGAAAACATTGGTGAATGCCACAAATTCTCCTAAATCACTCGTACGCACAACTGAAGAACATATCTGTGTGTATGAATGGGTCTTGCATGAGGCCCGATGTAATCAAAGTCTGTTCAGGTTAGAAAGAAAGATTCTTCAGCCTTGCACTTGGAAAATGGGTTGAATTTGTTTAGCAACCTGAAATAGGCTACTAATGTGTTTTTGCATAATTTTGGGCTGAAGACGACCTATTAAATCCTCAGAKGTTGGTAGAAGCCATACAACAGACATTTTACCACCATGGAGAAACTTGTGACATGATTGAAGAGTGAAAAATTGAATGTCCACAACTTGTAGGGCTTATTTAGGACACTTCTCCTCCTCAGTTCAACATCATCTGATGCAACCTTGAAATCTTTTTTTCCCTGTCACTTTCCACTAAGATTATTAAAATCTTTTTATATTTACATTTCTCTAGGCTTCACTCTGTGTCAAGGCACAAACTGAGTACAGACGCATTACTTGGAGCTCATTCTGACACTTTTTTAATGCCCAGTGGGGAAATTAGCATTTCATTGTGTTTATGCACAGACCTACTGTATTTCTGCCACGCTGACAATGGATGTGGCTCTAAAACATGATTCTTTCAGATATCTCCTTTCATCAGAGCCTTCACTTATTACTGTATGTTGAAGCATTCAGGAGTAACAGCGTTTTCATGTTTGGATCCATTCTTCAAATGTGTACTCTGGATACAGACTGGACGTAGGCTCAGAAAAACGTGTCCAGAACGGTTCTTTTATATGCTGCTGTATTTGTTGAATGACTATGAAGCTCTTCTTATTTCTGTACCCAGACATTAGAGCAGGAGGAAAAGGACAACGAGGCAGTCAGTAAGATGATGGCTCTCGATCAGAAGAACCAGCTTCTCAATCTCTTCCATGAGAAGAACCGACCAACACTCACAAAATGGCCCCAGGTAAAACTACACAGCAAAATAAACTGTTTTCTAATCTTTTATTTTGTTCTAAAAAGTTTTTTTTTCTCCAGGGTACAGATGTACTTTACATAGTTCCTCTGTTCTTTGTGGAAGAATGGAAAAAATTCATCAGGTTTGATATTTTTTCATTTTTGAAATGAGTGTTTTTAGTGTTATGAGAAATGAGTGTTAGTGTTTTTTTGTGAAATATTTGTCCTCGTTCACAGAAGTACAAAAAGATGTTCATTTTACATTTGGCTCAAAAAAATTTGATGTTAGTTGTAATAATTAAACAAGCTGTGACTTATTGATCAGTTCTTTACACTCTGAGTTGTATTGTTCTACTGTATACTCAGAGTTATACTGTTCTATATTTGTGAATACACACTACTCAGAGTTTTAGTTCTTTACACTCTGAGTTGTATTGTTCTACTGTATACTCAGAGTTATACTGTTCTATATTTGTGAATACACACTACTCAGAGTTTTAGTTCTTTACACTCTGAGTTGGACGGTCGTCAGATGTTGTCAACTTAAACTGTCAAAGTTCAGCTCAGTCTTTTTCATGTTTATTTGTGTATTTTTAGGAGGCCCACAAAATCTTCTCCAGTTTCTAATGTGGGCAATACTCTGCTGCTCTGTCCTCACGGGGGCTTCATGTTTACATACGACTCTCTGGTTACTGGAGAAGCACAACAGTGAGTTCTGCTTTTTTAAACTATATGACTAGCCAAAACTCTGCATCTTTTTTAATGACAGGGCTGATATTATTCCAGCACTGTGCCAGAATTCTGTCTTAACTCCAGAGGGGAAAAAAAATCTGACTCCATATATTTAACAAACATTTCTCTGAACCTGTCAAACCTCAGAAATCAGGTGAGGGCGGGACTTGGAAATCTGCAATACTTTGATTCAGATTCAGCAGAAGTTGAGTGGCTCTGAAAATAAATGAATTTATTTATAAAAACAAGTTTAAAAAAAAGAACTGGAAGCAATGTTGAAGCTGACAGGTTTGACTGATTTCAACACCACGAGCTGTGCAGATGGATGCTAACAGTTAGTTGGACAGTAGCAGACGGGTGGAGCAGGGAAGAAGGGGGAGCAGAGAGGAGCAGGAAGGAAGAAGTCTGATGACTTTGATCACGGTGACTCAGGTAACTGCATCTGATCAACAGATGTACTGGGAGAACATCTGATGTACTGGGAGAACATGGGACAAGTGCTCTGCATGAAGTTGATTAGMTGCGGCGGCGTGCAGAATGATCATGCAGCTTGTCTTTGTATAATTGGCTGTTTCTGTTGCTTTATTTTTTGGAATTTAACAATATTAACACTAAAAGAGGTATTTGTTATTATTTTATTATTTTTTGTTTAAACAAAGTGTAGCAAAGGTGTGTCTGTTTAAGTTGATTTTTCTTTAAACCCCTCCGTGTTCTCTCTGGGAAGGAATCAGTTTTTAGTCCATCATAAATATCAGCTATAAAATATAATGTATTATTCTACCATTAAAAACAGGCCATTTGGGGAATTTAATGAGAAAATTTTAAATATGAAATATACACTCACCGGCCACTTTATTAGGTACACCTGTCCAACTGCTCGTTAACACTTAATTTCTAATCAGCCAATCACATGGCGGCAACTCARTGCATTTAGGCATGTAGACATGGTCAAGACAATCTCCTGCAGTTCAAACCGAGCATCAGTATGGGGAAGAAAGGTGATTTGAGTGCCTTTGAACGTGGCATGGTTGTTGGTGCCAGAAGGGCTGGTCTGAGTATTTCAGAAACTGCTGATCTACTGGGATTTTCACGCACAACCATCTCTAGGGTTTACAGAGAATGGTCCGAAAAAGAAAAAACATCCAGTGAGCGGCAGTCCTGTGGGCGGAAATGCCTTGTTGATGCCAGAGGTCAGAGGAGAATGGGCAGACTGGTTCGAGCTGATAGAAAGGCAACAGTGACTCAAATAACCACCCGTCACAACCGAGGTAGGCAGAAGAGCATCTCTGAACGCACAGTACGTCGAACTTTGAGGCAGATGGGCTTCAGCAGCAGAAGACCACACCGGGTGCCACTCCTTTCAGCTAAGAACAGGAAACTGAGGCTACAATTTGCACAAGCTCATCGAAATTGGACAAGAGAAGATTGGAAAAACGTTGCCTGGTCTGATGAGTCTCGATTTCTGCTGCGACATTCGGATGGTAGGGTCAGAATTTGGCGTCACCAACATGAAAGCATGGATCCATCCTGCCTTGTATCAACGGTTCAGGCTGGTGGTGGTGGTGTCATGGTGTGGGGAATCTTTTCTTGGCACTCTTTGGGCCCCTTGGTACCAATTGAGCATCGTTGCAACGCCACAGCCTACCTGAGTATTGTTGCTGACCGTGTCCATCCCTTTATGACCACAATGTACCCAACATCTGATGGCTACTTTCAGCAGGATAATGCGCCATGTCATAAAGCTGGAATCATCTCAGACTGGTTTCTTGAACATGACAATGAGTTCACTGTACTCAAATGGCCTCCACAGTCACCAGATCTCAATCCAATAGAGCATCTTTGGGATGTGGTGGAACGGGAGATTTGCATCATGGATGTGCAGCCGACAAATCTGCGGCAACTGTGTGATGCCATCATGTCARTATGGACCAAAATCTCTGAGGAATGCTTCCAGCACCTTGTTGAATCTATGCCACGAAGAATTGAGGCAGTTCTGAAGGCAAAAGGGGGTCCAACCCGTTACTAGCGTGGTGTACCTAATAAAGTGGCCGCTGAGTGTATAAATTACAGTTGTAACATGAAACAATGGAAGAACCAGAAYGCTGGGACTGTTACACTTCCTGTGGGGGTACCAGATCAGTGTTTACTGATCATGAATTCAAAAAATAATTATACCTGAGTTAGAACTTTCTGAGTTTTTGTTTGATCTTRTGTTTTATTGTTTGGCTTGCACAGTGTAGCTCTTCTTTGGCCAAATGAATGGGAAGTGATCAGCAGACTCTTCATTGTTGATCAGCCAATATCCATCCACTGTTTAACACAGACCACACCAAACGGATGTACCACCCAGTACACCACTCAGCCAGGTAAGATTTCACATTCACAATTCAAAGCTATATTTCAAATTTCTGCATTTGAAGCTGGTGGGAGCCAAAGTGCGTCTAGACCCCAGAATCAGACATGCCCTCCTGTCAAACACACTGGGGCCCAACACAGAGCCTGTCTTGCGCGGTGTGYGTCAAAAGCAGCAGGAATTTGAGACATAACTCCAGAGCAGACAGATTTCTGCCTGTTGGGCTCATGGACAGTTAAAAACAAAACCCAGTGTCCTCTCATCTCATGAGGATGAGCCTTGCTCAGAACATCATGTTCAAAATATTTAAGCAACCGTAGTACCAAGGCACTGTTTAATAAATAGATAACAGCAATTTTTAAAGTGAGGTTGCATATCAAATTTTAAAACAAAGCCCTCACWTAGCTTGGAGTGTGTGGTGGGAATGACTCTCAGCTACTACCACATTTTAAACCTAATGTGTTTTAGTTTTTCCACTGCTTGCATGCTTGTGATATTTGTAAACAATATGATAAATCAACAAATCTGTGGTATATTCTTATTATGACAATCAAATATTTCTATGTTCAGATCTGTGTTGGGAGTGCAGAGAGAGCTTCCTGTTCCAGCAACAGAGGGATCTCAGAGAGTACACCCAAGCAACCATTTACATCCGCAAAGTCATTGATGACAAGAGGGTACGAAACAACAAACATTGAATGCACAGTGAACATCGACAACTGTATTTTATTCATTTTATTACAATAAGAACTGTTGCTGATGTTTGTCGATCCTCAACTATTTTTTCAAACTGTTCTGACTGTGGGAAACAAAGGACCCTGCTCCAGAGGTGATCGCCAGCAGCTCTGAGGCTGAGGAGGAGAGGGAAGAGCATCCTAAGGTTGATGGAGAGAAAGACCCAGACTTCAGTCAGGTAATTAAATAGAGTCTATTTCCATCTTCAATGTGTCTCATCGACCATCTGTTATAAACAGTTGTTGATGAGGGACCACAGTCTGCACCATAACAGATATTCAATTCAATTCAATTCAATTCAGTTTATTTATTTTGCTCCAAGTCACAACATGCATTGTCTCAGGGCACTGAGCATGAAAAAAGAACAATCTAAAGAAGAAACCAGCAGATTGTGTTGAATCACTTCATCAAAGTCTCCCATCCTGAGCAAACGGAGAGGAAAAACTCCCTGCTAATCAGGAAGAAACCTCCAGCAGAACCAGGCTCAGGACAGGAGACCATCTGCCTCGACCGGCTGGTTGAGGGACAGAAAAGAGATAACTGAAAGCTCTGCCTCCCATTCTACTTTTAGAAACTCGAGGAGGAACCACAAGTAAACCTGCAGTC